ATAATGTTTGGGTCATTCTCCCCAGATGTATATTTTCAAGCTTTGGTGATGTGGAATTTTTACTGAAATGCGACTTTGAAATTAATAAATTGCCCGTAAAATTGTCTAAATTCCATCAACAGGTTCTGCTTTATTGGAAATTAATTTTCAAGCACAATTTCTCCCCACATAATACGCCAATCTGGAACAATCGATACATATTGATAAAGAGAAATTCCTGTAAGCACTGCTCGAACACAACAGTGAGCGAGTCACAAAAATAGACGGACCCAGGTGGCTGACTTCGGTGCAGACAGTGTAGTTTATTTACAGTGCTGTATAAGTGACAAGAACTGAACAGAGGAACAATGGAACCGGGTGTCGAGCATAGGAGAGTACACAGTCAATGATGGAGATGATGAGAAAAAGACCGGGCTGCGGACATTGGGACTCACTCCTGGACTGGTCGGGTTAGGTGCAACTGCAGATAAACATAAATAGTATGTTAGGTACTTTCTTAGTTAGATAGATATTGATTAGAGATCTGTTGTATTAGAAGATGTTAGTGTAGCCAGGATGTCTTCCTCAGGCTGTTAAATGCAAGGTTAGTTAAAGCAGAGAAAGGCTGCAGTCAGGGATAAATGTTATTATGACGGTAAAAGTAACCATAATATTTTTCTTAATGTGAATTGTTGTGTTACAGTGTTTTTAAATACACACCACATAATCAACATTCACACACATTATTTTCTCCATGTTTTGACTACTGCTCTGCTCAGCTGCCAAGCTGGCATATCAGGTGCCATCACGGTTTGACGTGGCCTGTCTAGGATGGGGCTAGCCCAGAAGAAATAATATTGTATAGGTTTCTAGGTTCGGGGTCTTGCTTCTTCCGGGCTGCCTGCGAGCAGCTCTGGGGGTGGAAGATGCCTGGACGTGTAATGTTAATTCTTGCCTGTGACTCTTTGAATAAACCAGCACGGTTATATTTTTTTATATACTCAAGTGGTCCGCTTCGTCTCACGGAGTTCCTGGTTTGAAAGAACCGAACGAGGCTTTATAATAGAATAAAGCCTTTAGTGTCACACCTCCAGTAAAGCAGATCTTTAAAACCTGCTGGGAAAGAGGTGTGGTACAGGCTGCCAGTTTTGGGTGGATTGGAGATTCAGTGGCAAGAATGAGACTAGATAGTAAGGTAAGCCTGATGTGTGATTATTAAGTACTCCAAAAATTGATTTAACTTTGCATGGTATCAAGGGAAGGTGTAAAAAAGGAAATATGGGTATTAAATATTATAGTTATATAGCAGAAAAATATTAGGAGCATATTGTTGTACCCCATACTTTTTTACCATACTGACTCTGAGAGACAGGCAGTCCAAGTAACTTCAAAACAGTGCTGATTTATTCAAAGGATCACAGGTAAAGTTAACATTACACGCTCAGGTATCTTGCACCTCCATCCTGCACGCAGGCAGATGTAAGATGAAAGACCCCCGAGCCCACCAGGCCTATACATTTTATCACCTCGGTTGGGCTAGCCCCATACTACACAGAAACGTCAACCGGGACGTCTCTCTCACCAGCTTTGCAGCTGGCTCTAGCAGTAGTCAAAACATGAAGCAAATCAACGTGTGAATGTGTGTGTCTGTTGGTTAAGTGGTGTGTAGCTAAAAACATTCTCAC